CCTGGATGGGATCCCAGTTGTTAACTGCCAGGACTAAAACCATGCATAAATGTTTATATCCCCTAAGCATATTTCCTATTAAAAATTGGGAGAAGAACATTTATCCGTGACACAGAGTCAAGACCTCTGCCTGAAGCTGTCTCATTTGAGCACCCTGCACTGCTGCCGTTGGCACGAGTTCCAGGTTACAGATGAGAAAAGAGACACACAGAAGACTCAGGACGTGAACCTGCCTGCTGCCTTGCCTAGCCCTGACCCATCGGACACAGACCCTTTGACAGTGTTGCCTTCTCTGCAAATGTGGACAATGACCCCGTGAGTTTGTTGTGATTAAACAAGGCAACAGAGTTTAAAGGAATCTGTAAAAAGTAAACATCACTTTTGTACGTACTGACTTAGTGGTTTGGTACGTTGGGTGGAATCAGCACACAAACCTGAAGCAGAGGGAAAGCAAAACCTAGTTAAAGTTTTGTTTTACAGCAGAAACCATAAACCACCATACACAGCTGTTTATGGACCACAGGCAGCGTCCCCGAAGGAGAGGAAGGGCGACCTGCGGAAGTGGCTGAGGGACAGGACCGGTGGGGACGCCGCCTCCTCCTCGGCCCGGCGGCCCCGCAGCCCCGCCGGCGGCCTCCGCTCGGGCGGGCTCCGCTCCCAGCAGCCGCGCCCCCGACGCCAGGTCGCCATGGCGGCCTCGGGCCCTGCCAGGCTGCTTCGAGCGGCACCTACAGGAACGCCGACCGCGTCCCCTCGGGGGAGCCGCGGAGACCTGGAGCGCACTTGCCCCCTTTCTTGTCGGGAGGCCGGGACCCCGGGGAAGCGGCGGCCCCACAGAATCGCAAACTCCAGTTCAGGAGCGGACGGCGGAGGCACTGCGCTCCGTTTAAACTTCCCGCCTCGGCCAATGGGCGCGTCAGGGCCCGCCCACATCCGCGGGGGACCAATCAGCAGGCATCCGCCTAGCCAATCAGACGACGGCGCCTTATTTAAACGTGCCGACGCCGCGCGTCGCTCTCTGCGCAGCAGGCGAGAATGGCGGCAGGTCTCGGTGCCCCTGAGACCCGGGCTTAGACTTGAACCTCGCTGCTGGTTTGTGAACCTGTCGGTTGAAGGGAAGAGAGTAACAGCACTTCCACAGTAAACGCAGCAGTCACTGCGGTTGCCGGGACAGCCTTAGGTAAAACCGTTAAGTAGGCAGAATGGGCTCACTCCTCCCTCTTCCCGCAAGTTCCGGCCCGGGGTTACGTTCCCGAGCTTCCCCCACCCCCCCGCTTTTCCTGGGGCCGAAGGGGGGGAAATGCGGACAATTAAATGTACAGGGAGTGGGAACGTGCTGACCTCAGTGACTGAGCCCAGCCGGGCCGCGGTAG